GGCAGGAGAACCTCAAAGGGATGAGGGAAAGTGAATGATGCCATTCGAGTCGGAGCTTTCTTTTCTCCCTGCATTCCTCCTTTTATTGAACACTTAAAACTTCCCTTGGAGATCCTCTAGCTTGACTCTGCGAGCCTGCGCTCCAGAATAACAGAGCCGATCGCCACGAGGAAGGAAGCGAATCCTGGGACGGGCATGGGCTGCGCATGCATGAGGAATGACAGCAGCGGGAGAAACCGGCTTGGAAGGACCTCGCAAGAGCTGCCGCTTGTTTTGCCAGACACAGCGCATTTCAGACAGAAGTTCTGTTACGACGAGCCTGCCGCAGACATAGCTGAATCAAGGTCCTTGTGAGTGAAAGAGAAAGGGGGTAACCGGGAGCGAAGGGGATTTCACAGCCGGCGCTGCAGGAGGTACAGCACGCTGCCCAGCTTACGGAGCGACCCTGGGCACCTGCAAGCAGACCCTGACAGATGACTGCTGCACCGTGATGGGGGCACACGTCTCACAAATGTACAATGATTTCCAGTACACCACATCGTAGGAGAATGAATTAATGTTTTTGTCTATTACATGTGGAATTCAGATAGGTAGGTGAACGACATACTAAACACACTGCCAGCAAACACCAACTCAAACGCATTTTCTTTTAGAGTTCCCCAACAGAAGAACACTGCTTCTCCATTTAAGCCAGACAGCTTATCCTGTACCAAGCCATACACAGCTGATATTCTTTGCAGGAAGCACTGCCTACTGCTTTACTATAATTCTTCATTACAAAATTAGACCGCAGAGTCTCCGCTTGGTAGACACCATGGCACTAATCTCCTCCAAAACAGGGGTGCTGCAACTGATTGCCATACGGACTCAACCAGGAGGTCTCCGGCTTCTATCTGAGGACACTGTGGGATGCTGAAAATGGCATTCCTATGGTGGCTTCTCTCTGGGAGACTGTCTGATCCAAGTCACTGACTGTGGTGTGAAACCTGAAGGGAGCACACAATTCTGTGCTGACACAGCTGGGGTACGGGGCAGCTCTCACATACATGTGGGTTATCCATGTTTTTCAGGGCACAGGAAAAAGAGAGATCTATGAACTCGCCCATTGAAAGCGTCATAGGATCTAGTTTTCCAGCCCCCTCCCTGAAATACAAGCCTAAGTATCATTTAGAAGTGACAGAGACTGAAGTCTCATTTGGTCCTTAACTCCATCTGAAAGCAGCCGTGGTCTCCACCTGGCAGAGGCATTTGTGAGCAGTGGGCTGCGACGGTGCCTGGCACCAGCTACACAGAGAGCGTTTAACCACACATGGAGAAGGGCTAACACTGCTTGCCTTGATTTTCAATTCTGCAGCCTACACTCCGACTCCGCCAAGCTGCCCATTGTCACTGCCTGACCAGCGACAACCAGCCTACACTCCGACTCCGCCAAGCTGCCCATTGTCACTGCCTGACCAGCGACAACCCAGGGGAGCCCAGCCCCACGGGAGCTGCAGGGCTTTCCTCCAACAGCGGAGCCTCCCCTGGAAGGCTGGTGTAGGGCAAACAAACAAAAAAACCCACAAATCATATTAGAGATTTGTTCTTTCCCCCTCCTCTAAGCAATGTTTCTCGCATGCTTTGGTTTGCTTCTTCTCATAGTGCACCTGCATTATAGGTAGCATACACATTACAGATAGGAAATTAAATAAATCTATATTTTGAGTTTTAATTAATATACAGGCATCATTTCAAATGATATCTGACTCACTCGAAAGAACCAGCTGCTCTTCACCATCAACGGTAACACTGGCGAGCCCATCTTAGTGGGCCTAGCCCTAAACACGACCCCTGCCTGGCTGGAAAGCTGCCGCGCTCTGCAGAGGACCGGCAACCCTGCATCCACCGTCTGAGCCACGGCAGCTCCGGCGACTGCCTTCCCAGTAACAAAGCGGAGGAAAAGGCTGGCCTGGTAAGGATGGGCAAGGTCATGCCTCCAAGATTGTTCCCTGTATTTCTCCCAGGCTTGTTGCCCTGGATGCGTTTGCTCTCCTCCCAGCAGCTTTCTGGTAGCAGCCTTTCCTGTAATTGTTTCCTTCTCCTGCAGATACATTCAGTTTATCTTTCTACTTCAGCTCAGGAGTATTGGTTTTCCTGATATGACCTTGTTTCTCAACAGTTCCCTATTTTATAGCTTCCAATAGGATCAGACCAAACGCCATTTGTGCCTTTGGAAAGAAAAATCATTTTAAAGCCTCCCATGATGCTCAAAAATCTTGCTGCTCTCCTGTGGCCCTCTGTAGATGCCTTTGGTAGGTGGGATCCTCTTGCAACGTTTTTCCTAGCGAGTGCCCTTTCTGCAGCCTCTTGGTATGCGACAGCAGGCACTTCTGAACTGCTTCACTACACAAGCCACAGATTTGTCTGTCACAAACAGTGTCAGTTATCACAGCATCAGATTTGCTGTGTGCAGCAGGTCTCTTTAAGACTGCCATGAATTGAAAATTGTTTTCCTACCTCTTCTCAATGCCTGACGGAACAGGTATCTCGGCAATCAACAGTGGCTTTGGGGCAAAGTGTGACTGACACATCTGTATCAGCTATCCAGTTAATTTTATTCCCAGCCTGTTTTGTTACATTAAACCTCAAGATGCTCACCACGCTCCCTCCTTTCCAAGCAGGAGAGGGGGCAAACCCATCCTTTCAGCTCCAGAAGTTTAGCTATGGCTGCTCCACCAGTTAGACAGGCTGCACCTCACGGGACCTCCAGTAAGCAGGAGACTGCCTCTTGCAAGTGCTCACATCACACACACAAAGTCAATCCGAAGCAAAATTCAGCCCTGAGGAGGTATCCCTGCCAATTTCAGCAGGGCCACAGCGGATATGTCCTGCGCCAAGCTGCTGGTCAGGTCTGTTCTCTGTGAAGGGATAAAGACTGATGTGGCTGCTGCCATGGTCTCAAGAGTTACAACATGCAGACCACCTCCAGCACAGGTCTTCACAAAGCTGGTCAGAACACAAGTACAGGAACATGCTCTGCCCTCCTCGGAAATCACCCGTTTCTGCTCCAGTGGACAAGTTCTTGTAAGGACTTTGGGAGCACCCATCCTTTGCTCTGTGGATGGCCACATGAGCACCCTACGCATAGCCCAAGGGTTTCCTGCGGCGTGGCTTGCCCTGCGGCGAGGAGACAGCTTGCAGCTTCCCATGCTTCTGCCCCCTGGAAGGCTCCTGCCCCAGCCCGCAGCAGGGCTGCGCTTGCTGCAGGACTGGCCATCAGAGCATTCACAGCTTCTCCAGACCCAGAGGCCGGGCCCAGCTCTGTGCGGGAGGAGGACGGAGCCGCGCGGGAGCCGGGCACCATGCGTCGCAGACAGAATAAGGCTAGGGTGACTAATGAGAGCAGCCAGCGCTGCAGAGGCTTTCCAGCCCAGCGTCCTCGCAGGTTTCCATGCGAGATAGTGACACTTGGCACATTTATTGGTGCCATACGGCACACATACTGTTCCTTAAACTTGCACATGCAGGCCCACACCTCCACGGCCCCGCTTAGCCAGTGGACCTTGCTTGGAAAGACCCTTACAAATGCACATCGCTACTGATAAACACCCCACAAGTCACCACGGTGAGCTTCAGGGGAGCACTCTGCTACGTCAGTACGTTTAGGGCTACAAAGGTGATGAGGGGACTGGAGCATCTCTGCTGCGAGAAAAGGCTGAAGGAGCTGGGCTTGTTCAGCCTGGAGAAGGCTGCGAGGGGACCTTATAAATGCTTATAAATATCTGCAGGGTGGGTGTCAGGAGGACGGGGCCAGACTCTTTTCAGTGGTGCCCAGC